CCGGCTTTTTTTTTTTTTTAATTTATTTTTATTTATTTATTTATTTTTATTTATTTTGTGTGCAGGTGCCCATGGAAACCAGAGGAGGGGGTCTGATGTCCTGGAGTCACAGACAGTTTTGAAAATATACAATGTGGGTGTGGAATTGAACTTAGGTCTTCTAGAAGAGCAAGCAAACACTCTGACCTGTTTATCCACATTTCTACACTGTTCCTTCAAAACTGTTTTTCAGGTAGCCTAGGCTAGCCTAAGACTTCCTTGGTAGCCAAAAAATGACCTTGAATTTTTGATCCTCCAGTCTCCTGACCTGGTTTATGTAGTGCTTCGGCTCAAACCTTTGTACATAGTAGGCAAGCACTTTTTTTTTTTTTTTAAAGATTTTTATCTTATGTGAGTACAGTCTCCGTCCTCAGACACACCAGAAGAGGGCATCAGATCTCATTACAGATGGTTGTGAGCCACCATGTGGTTGCTAGGAACTGAACTTAGGACTTCATCAGTGCTCTTAACCGCTGAGCCATCTCTCTAGCCCATAGGTAGGCAAGCACTTTACCAACAGTGACATTCCTAGTCCCCACGGTCACTGCTTTGGTTTTTGCCTTTCTGAGATAGGGTTTCTCTGGGTAGCCCTGACTCTCATAGAACTGTACTCTAGGCTGGCTTCGAACTCAGAGCTCTGCCTGCCTTTGCCTCCTAAGTGTTGGGATTAAAGGCGTGTGCTGCCACTGCCCGGCGCCTTTTGTTCCAATCCTCAGATATGGGCTGAAGTAGTAATTAGTGACTCAAACAATGGACAGGCCTCAAAGTTGACCAGCTTGACCTTAGACTATGCAAATAAAAAACAAGGCAGACTTGGTTAACTACAAATTAAAAGCCATTTTGGGTCATGCAAGGTGGTGAACACATTTTTATCCATTTCATGTACTTGGGAAGGCAGAGGCAGGTACATCTTTGTAAGCTTGAGCCCAGCCTGGCTACATACATAGCAAGTTTTAGATAACCAGGGCTATAAAGCATGACCCTGTTTCAAAAATAAGTGAAAGAACTTCATTTGAGGCCCAGGTGGTGGTGGTACATTGCCTTCATTCAATCCCAGTGCTTGGATGTTTGATTCCAAGTTTGAAAATAAACAAGAAAAATTGTCAGCAGATAGTCTAAACTCAGTATTTTGGCCTTGATTGCTGCCTAACAAAGCGAGTAAGGGTCTTGGGGTTGCTTTGGTTATCGCTGTCAGGAGAGGGCAACTGTGTTTTTCATTTCTGCAGGATGGTTTTATTTCATTTGCTTCTATTTAGCAGAAAATTTATAGGACCGTGACTGAGTAAAGAGATGGAGAACTTTAAAGCAAATGGATAAAGAGGTAGTACCTTGCAGAACTTTCCAGTGGTATAGATGTAACAAGTTACATCTTGGCACCTTAAGATCCTGTCAGACAGCCCAGAAGTGGTGGTGCACGCCTTTAATCCCAGCACTTGGGAGGCAGAGGCAGGTGGATTTCTGAGTTCGAGGCCAGCCTGGTCTACAGAGTGAGTTCCAAGACAGCCAGAGCTACACAGAGAAACCCTGTCTCAAAAAAAAAAAAAAAAAAAAAAGATCCTGTCAGACTTACTGTCTGTAACACCAACCTGATTGATAATTGTTGCTGAATGTTAGCCTGAGTAGTTGTTTGTGTCCATAACCTACATACTGGCTGCATTTGTCAGTGATGAAAATGCACACACTGTTCAGCCTAGTTATATACCAGGCTGTACCATCCAGACTGATGTAAGTCAGTCACTCTCGACCTGTGGGTCACAACCTCTCTGGTGAGGGGAGGGTGGAACCCTTTTACATGGTTGCCTAAGGCCATTGGGAAGATATTTACATTACTAGTCATAGATTCTTAACAGCAAAATTAAATATGAAATAGCAATGAGAGTAATTTTATGGTTGGAGGTCACAAGCGTAAAAATTTGAAGGGTAGCAGTACTAGGATTAGTACTGCTTGAAAACCCAATGTTCTAAGAAATACTCAATGTGCTCACATAACTGAAATCACGTAATGATATGTTTTTCTTAAGTGACTCATATATTTTTTTTCTGTCTTTTTTTTTTTTTTTTTTTGGTTTTTCGAGACAGGGTTTCTCTGTGTAGCCCTGGCTGTCCTGGAACTCACTCTGTAGACCATGCTGGCCTCAAACTCTTGAACTCAGAAATCCGCCTGCCTCTGCCTCCCAAGTGCTGGGATTAAAGGCGTGCGGCACCACCGCCAGGCTTGACTCGTATATTTCAAATTTTGAAGGAAAGCTAGATGTGGTGAAACCTGCCAATTCCAACTTGGGAGGCAGAACTGTTGAGTTCTAGGGCATATACACAGGGAGTAACAGACTAGGAGTGTATTTCAGAATTCTAGCTGCAAGTGATTCTGTAGTAACAATGTCCTCTTTCACTGTGAGAAATAAGTACTTTGGAGTAGAGTCACAATGTCACAAGAGACTATCAAGATGTGTCTGACATATAGGGAAATGCCAAATTGTCCAAGGTTCACATCAAAATGAGCAGAAGTTGGGGATGTTCTCAGTGGAGTCCAATGTGAAAGAACCCCTGCTGGGTCTGACCCAGCACTGTGTGAACCAGGTATGGGGCAGTCCTCTAGTTTCAATACTTGGATCTCCAAAACCAACATAAAAATCCAGTAGGCAGAGTGGCTACCTTAACAAGCTGTATCAGTAAGTTTAGCAAGAGACCCTGCCTCAGTAAAATTAAGTGGACACATGTGCACACCCCTACACATATACAAAGGTATACAAAAAACCCTTCAAGTGTTTCCGTAGTCACTAAATAGTCCACTTAACAATACTAAAATTCAGCTGAAGTCGGGAAGAGCAAGATTCTAACAGGCTGACAGTTACAGGACACCAAGATGTTAGTCTTGTGTGCTGGCCCACACTTGTAACCCCAGCAACCGACAGGCCAACACGATGCGTGACTTAGATCCTATCTAGAAAGAAAAAAAAAAGGCTGATGACAACTCAGTTGGAGGGGGCTGGAGAGACGGCTCAGTGGTTAAGAGCACCGACTGCTCTTCTAGAGGTCCTGAGTTCAATTCCTAGCAACCACATGGTAACTGACAACCATCTGTAATAGGATCCGATGTCCTTTTTTGGTGTATCTGAAGAGCATCAGTGTACTCAGAACTCAATTGGAAAGCTGGGAGAACACTTGGCGTTAGGTTCAGTTTCCAGTAGCACAAAAGCAGAGGCAAGCAGATTTTACAATTAAGTTGGCCAGAAGGTGCACAAGGAGTCTGCAGCCCCTCCCTGGAAAGGGGAATTAACATCAAAATACAAGACCAGGGTGGAAAAGCTGATGCTTTCTGACTTCTATGGTATGCAAACATACGCAGACAAAAACACTTATATACATAAAATAGAAACACATCTTAAGAAAAATGTTAAGATCTGAGGTAGGAAGATAAAAGTGTTCGAGCCCAGCCTGGGCTAGGCTAGAGCTAGATCCTTCCTCAACATACCCTAAAACAAAACAATAAATTAAGGCTGGGAGTGCAGGGAACTTGAGACAGTTCAGCAGTCCGAGCAGAGCCAGAAGACTCGGGTTCAATTCCTAGCACCCACCACATGGCAGCTCACAAACCATCTGTGTCTCCAGTTACAAAGGATCCAATGCCATCTTCTGACCTCTGTAGGCATACGATGCAGACATTCATGGACCCCAAAACACTCATATAGAAATAAACAAGCAAAATGAGCCTATACTACTCTTGCAGAGGACCCAAAATTTAGTTCCAAGCACTCAGGTAGCTCAAAACTACCTGAAACTCCAACTCTAAAGGAATCCAAGTCCTCAGTCACCTGTACTCACACATTAAAAAACGGGAGGGGGTGCTGGAGAGATGGCTCAGTGGTTAAGAGCACTGAGTTCAAATCCCAGCAACCACATGGTGGCTCACAACCATCTGTGATGAAATCTGATGCCCTCTTCTGGTGTGTCTGAAGACAGCTACAGTGTGCTCATATATATAAAATAAGTAAAAAAGAAAAAAAAGATAGTCTTGAGTAGGCAAGATGGGTCAATGTGGGGAACACTTAGCACCAAGCCTGGTCTACATAGGGAGTTCCAGGCCAGCCAGGGGTACACAGACTGTTTTACAACACAACAACAAAAGCCAGACTAGAATTAAACTGCTCTTGTGACACATGCCTATAACCTTAGACTTGGGAAGAATAAGGCAACGAAGTCTACTTAAGTTTAAGGTCATTCTAAGCTACATAGTAAGTTTCATGCTAGCCTGGGTTAGATGGATTGAACCTAACTCCACAAAGCTGTCCTCTGACTTTGTACACACTAAGGTAGTAAAACAAAACAAAGCCAAAAGCAACAGGGGCTTCAGAGTTGGCTCAGTGGTTAAAAATATTGGCTGTTCTTCCACAGGAACCTAGTTTGATTCCTAGGTACCCACATTAGGTGGGTTAGAACAGCTTGCAACTCTAGTTCCAGGGTACACAAGTGGTGTACAGACATGCACACAGGCAAATCACCATATAGTAAGATAGTAAAACCCTGTTTCAAAACACACTCCCTCCCAAAAAGACAGATGACATTCAACCCAGCATTTAAAACAGTGCCAATTCCTAAAACTTTTTAGTGATAGCATCTGCTAATGCCATCCAAGTGATTAAGCTACTTCAGAAAACATGTTTTCAAAAAACTATATTTGGAAGTGTTATAAGTAAATAATTTCCCAGTAATATGAAAAACAGAATGATGTGTGACATTAATAAACTGAGACCATTTAAAAGATGAGGGTAGCAGCTGTTGAGTCTACAGTGTCCATCTACAGTCATGACTTTTGCTAAGATGGCCATGCCTGCTGCAGTGGGACATGCACCCATGCACCCCAGGACTGAAGAGGGAGGCATAGGATCCAAAGCTCTAAGCCAGACTGGGCAACACAGGAAGGAGGCCTGGTTGGGAGGGAAAAAAAGGACAGAAAGCAAGAATTAGAAATCTATAATTTTATTAAGACAAAAACTGACAGTGTAGTATGAAGTTTACACTTAAACAGAAGTTTTCACATACATCTTAACACATGCTGAGAAGATTTTACAATGTAGTTCTATTTGCAGGTCTAGACAATACTAAAAATTGATGGATCTCGTGATTCAAGACAGTATTTTGGACATCAGTTAATCTGAAGATTTTATATTCTCAAGTGAACCACTACCCCAATATGAAAATTAATCTCCTGAGACTAGGGCTTGTGAAGTCATTCAATCCTTGAATTGACTCAATGGAATTTGTGCTGTCAGTAACTGAACCTGCCACAAGCAGTTTCAGGGTTCAAAGCTGAAAAACAAAAAACAAAACAAAAAACAAAGAAAAAAAAAAAGAGAGGGGCTCCAAGAGTTTCCACCCTAAGAGCAGAGGCCCTCCTCTTCCATCTCCCATAGGCCCTCCTGCAATACTTGAGCCAATGGCTTAGATGGACAAACTGATATTTATAACTTTGTAATTGGAAAAAGGTTTCTTTTCTCCAATTTCAAGAATTAGCACCTCTAAGGCAGAGTGGTCTGCCTCTATATACTCTCCAATAAACTTTCCCTCTCCAGTCAGTTTCCATCATCGAATGGCAGCTTTGGTAACTCAGAACTGGCTTTGTCCTTTGTGGGCCACTTTGAGCTCAGGTTGGGAGCACCTTGGCTGTAGGTTTTAGGAGTAACAAGATTTTATTTATTTATTTACTTACTTACTTATTTATTTTAAAGAAACAGTCTCTCATAGTCCTTATTTATGGTGCCAATGACTTTTTTTTGAAAAGGCAAAATATTCTGGACATTGAACCAATTTATTAGTTAGCTGTTCTACTGTTTTACCATTTCCCCAATCAGGCCCCAAATTTTAACCAAAATGATTCTACCCATCTCCCTTCCTCCCTGTCCCAACCCTCCCACCCCCAATTAATATACCAGTAATAGCCAAAAAACTACAGACATGCTAGGCTGTAAAAATGCAGTTAACACTATTGGGAAGAAGGCTGTGGGTTGTGGAGATGTTCTTTGAAGATTGACAGTATCTTTGCTTTCCCACATCCCAGTTCTGCAGGTTTTGTCCTTCATGGAAGGCCCACTGCTTCCTTAGCAAAGCGCAGAACAGGTTGCCTTGAAACACTTACCCTTTCCCGTTGGGATGGGTCTGTAAACTATACAGCTTGAACAATTTAAAGCATTTGGGCTGCTGCAGGACACAAACTATGCTGGTTCTTCAAAGGACATCTTCTCAAGCCACCTCTAAGATGTCAAGACAAGTACAACTCCTTCCCTCCCCCTCGAAACCCACAGTCAGAGGTGACAGGGGCTGGTACTCAACAGGGCTAATTCTTGTCGTCTTTTTTGTCATCATCCTCTGAGGGGTAGGAATGCCACGTTAGTCTTTCCTCATAGAAGGATATGACAACCTGTGGGCACTTGACATTGGCTTCCTTGGCAGGGACCAGGTCAGCCTCATCAGAGTTTTTCCTGCAGAACAAAGTACAAAGACACTTTGAGATCAGCCATTGTGGTCCTGTTTTGGACCACCCGGGGAATGGGGCTTTCAAAGTGTAAATTCCAGAAACAAATTAGGACACAAGATGCTGGGCAAGTGTTGTCACATGACTCTCTCAAAGATATTCCTCTGTTACAAATCTCCTCTGAGGGCAGGTCTCTGTGAGTTCGAGGCCAGCCTGGTTTACAACATGAATTCCAAGATAGCCAGGGTTATACAGAGAAACCCTGTCTCAAAAGCCAACAAAACAGAACAAAAACAAACAAAAATCCCCTCTAAGAAACTTTGTCAAAAAGTAGGTCATCTGACTCAACTATATCTTTGGAAAAGGCCAAAAACGCTTAATTAGAATTTCAGAAGTTAGACAAGATTAAAATTTGAAAATGATATACATTACAGGGCATTAACTAGGAGTATAAGCTCTAACCATTTATCTTCAGCTCACTGGGCCTGTCCTAGACAGAGGCAGCACCATGGGGCAGGCAAACCGATACATGACAGAATGTGACAAGGCTCCAGTACAAACCTCCAGAACCTGACCATGAGGCAAGGGTTTTGAGCCGCAGAGAACCACAGACTAAGCCGATACAGCTAAGCGTCTACACCACACCACAACGATGGGAAATGTTCTGAATTCTACGGGGATCTAATACAGCTCTCTGTTAACTCACAATTCTAGAGTAGTTTAAGCCCTTTCACCACACAGAAATATTTTCTATTTTCAGAAATAAACAGTTATCTCCACTTTTCTGGAAAACTATGCAGCAATTTAAAGATTTTATGTGTATGTCTTTTGCCTGTACACATGTATACAACATATGTGTCTGGTGCCCTGGGAGGCCAGAAGATGGTGTGTCAAGATTCCCTGGAACTCGAGTCTTTAAGAAGAGAAGGTGGTTATCTAAACTGCTGAGCCATCTCTCCAGCCCCACATTTCTTTTTTTAATGTGCATGTATGTGGTACTAGTAATAGAAGCCAGAGCCATGTGTACATGTCTTACAAATACATGCAACTATGAGCATGCACCTGTATCAGTACTGCTCTGTTTGAGACAGGCCGTTGTCACTGCTTCTCCATCTTCCTAACACTCCAATCCTTTAATTCAGTTCCTCACCTTGTGTTGACCCCTGACCAAAAAATTTTGTTCCTACTTTATAAATGTAATTTTGCTACTGTAATGAATCATAACATAAACATCTGATATGCAGGATATCTAATACATGACTCCTGTGAAAGGGTCATTTGGCCCCCAAAGGGGTCATGACCCACAGGTTGAAAACTGCGGCTCTCTGTTGTTTTACAACTGGATATATAGACCAGCTGGCCTCAAACTCAGAGATCCACTGGCCTCTACCTCCAAGTGTTGGAATCAAAGATGTGCAACCATCACACCTAGCCATGTGTATCTTTTTAAAACTTGGGTTTTACAATCAACATTCAATATTTTGATCGTGAAGGAGTGGGTGCTGAGTGAATGAGTCTTGCACAATCTAGGCAAGCCTTCTATCAGTAACCACATCTCTATCACAAAGGTTTGGGTTTATTTTGTTATTTTGTAGGGCTAGGGATCAAACCTTTTGAGTCACACCCCCTAGCTCAACATCCATATTTTTTTTTTAAATTTAAAGATTTTACTTATTTTGTGTTTATGAGTGCTCTATCTGCATGTACACCTAATACAGATGACTGTGAGACACCATGTGGTTGCTGGGAATTGAACTCAGGACCTCTGGAAGAGCAGCCAGTGCTCTTATCCGCTGAGCCATCTCTCTAGTTCCCAACAACCAAATCTTAACCTTTAGATATAGTAGTGAGTCTACAAGAATTAGAGAATACAATCTCCTATGCCCTTCCCCCGCTTCCCTCCCTCTTTCTTTCTGTCTTGTTGACACAAAGTCTTACTCTATATTCCAAGTTGTCTCTAGTGCTAAAATGACACATGAGTTAAGACTGGCTCTTCTGTGTATGCTTATGCTTTTATGACTTCATGGTACTCTAGGCCAGGCTTCAACTGGTGATACTTCTGTTTTATCTAAGTGCTGGATTCTAAGTGTCCAGCATCACACCTGACCAAGGATGCAGCTCTACGCACTATGGAGATACTTCTTTAACTCACACTTGACATATACGCAGAGCAAGTGTGTACTAGCTAGACTACTTAATACATCCTATTACTCAGTTTTTCTTTTCTCCTATAAGTTACAGGAAATAAGCTAAATGAGGGTCAGACTCAGTAAATACTGAGGGCACCCACGGGAAGACAACAGGTGATTAATTGTGACACAGACCTTCACCTCTTCAGGCATCATGTAGGGAAAAACTACCACAGATATCAATTTCAGCGAAACTTCTAGACCAATCAAAGACAAAGCCTTGAGAATCCTACTTTAACTGTTAATGGCTTAACACTTACTCTTCCTAGTCCAGAATGGTGGCAATTCCCTGTAATCTCAGCACAGAGTCTGGGGCAGGAAGATTTCGGGTTCAAGGCAAGCCTAGACTAGAGTAAAACCGTCTCAAAACAAAAAACAAAGAGATTACTTTTCCTGACTTGAACTCCTTTTCATTAAACTGTTGGGAGATACTGTCGTTGCGTGCTGCATAACAATGTTCTGGTCAGCAATGGATACCAAATATGATAGTGGTCCCATGAGATTACAATGCAGATAAAAGTTTCCCATTTTCTAGTGCTACTGTGCTACATGCTAGTCATAGAAACCTACCACTATGCTGCCAGCATGTTAAGCATATTCAGCAGGTGAGACTCAATAACAAACTGTTGTTACCAAACAGTACCCACTGTTTCTTCTTAGAGCAAGTTGGTGTTGTCACCACTCAGACATAGTAGAAAGAAACGGCCTTCCATATGCTCAGGAGCAGGAGACAGCAAAGAGGCCTTGCTGACCCCTGCTGGCTCATTCTGTAAATTTACAATCTTCAAAATAAATTCTATAAATTCTTTCTTTTCTAACCTCAAACATGAACAGAATCTTGTTTATAGGGCTAGCCTGATCTTTACTAAGGAGGTGGCAAAGAAGGAGGGTGATTCAATCACATTTCAGACTTTTCTCCACAGAACTGAAATGTGATTCCTCTCCATAGCCTCTCCCACCTAACAAAAAAAAAAAAAAAAAGCAAAGATCTGAAAAATCCTAAGGGCCCCTACCTGTAACTCATGAGTCCAGGTTGGTAGTCAGGCCGAGGGTCACTATCGAAGGACTATGTCATCTTAAAGATTTCACACCTGGGCGACTGGAATTTCGAAGGTCCAGCTCTTTTCCTCTGGCATAGAACAGATAGGGAGAAGGAAAAAAACAAGCACACAGAGCCGCTGGGAGACTCACCATTTCATCAGGAACATGAGCTCTCCACTGGAGTCGGTGGCTCCAATAATCCGCTCTGGCTCCAAACCCCGGGCAAAGCCTCGTGGCTTTTCTGACTGTAAAAACCAGATGGGTAGAGACTTTATTGACATAGGACTATATCCAGAACAAAGTTATTTATTTATTAATGTAATCCAACATTCACTCAGGGCTTCCTTGGCTTCGCACACCATGTGTCAGGAGTCTGCAGTACATGCTGTCCTCCCAGCATGAGCAGGACATACACCCCAAGCAAGAGAATGTTCACAACTGTCTCCTCAAAGGGACATCACTTAAGATACTAAGTAAGACAAAACAGTCATCTCAAATCTTTTGCTTTTTCAAGACAGAGCTTTTCTGAGTGTAGTCCTGGCTTTCCTGGAACTACGCTGTAGACTAGAATAGGCTACCTCAAATATTTAATGATCGAAACACTAAAAACTGTCTATTGACAGGAAATGAATCCAATTATCCTCACGAGTCTCCAATAATTGTTACATGTTATTATTTCTGTACTGTGGAGGAAAAGTAAGATCTCTTCATAAGAGCAAGCTCCAAATCCTTTTTTGTTTGGTTTATGTTTTGCTGAGACAAGGTCTCCTGCAGTCCAGGCCTCTTATCCCTGATCCTCTTGCCTCCCTCTTCTTCCTGAATGCCAGGATTACAGGTGTGTATCCCTTTAAAACATTAGCTTACTTCTGACGAGACAGAGAGGACATGGCTTCTGAGATTCAAAGGAAGAAAGTCCAGTATGGTAGTTTACACCGTAATCTCAACAGTTAGACCTGTTGTCTCAAAACTTAAAAGCTGAATAATAAAAAAGGAGGATTGCCACAAATTTAAGGTAAGCTTGGGATACATACTGAATTATAGGCCAGCCTAGGCTTCTATGCAAGGCTTTATCTAAAACAAATAAATAAAAATTTAAAATAAAAAAAAAAGAAGGTGAGGATAGGAGACAGGAGTTAGAAGCAACTGCTAAACTTCTCTGGCCTCTGGCTGGTGAAGATTCCTAGTTCCAGCCTTACCTCTTCTTTCTTCTTCTTTGGTTTGCTTTCTTCTCCTTTATCTTCAGAATCAGAATCAGCTTTGCGCTTGCCTCCCTCTGACTTATCTGTCTCATGAGCTGTTTTCTGTGACTGTAGGAACTCAGCAATAAGGTCTGGGCAATCCAGATTCTCTTCTGGCTCCCAAGTGTTGTCCTCACTGAAACCAGCAAGCACAGCAAGTTATACTTTCCATTCAGATCAACATTTTTATACTAAGAAAAGAGCTAGTCTGGGAAAAGAGGTAAGTGATAACCAATAGCTAGACTTTTGTTCAAGATGAAGAGCTTTCCTAGTAGGGGAGCGCAGAGACCAAAGACTTAGAAACTTGCGTTCTTCAAAGAAAGACTACTTTGCAAAAGTGGACTATCTGATACAAATTGATCCTCAGAAACCAGTCAGGTTGGCAAGATGCCTAAATGGGAAAAAAGAGCCATTCACCAAGTCTGAAGACCTGACTTACATCTCAGGACTTACATGGCAAATGTGCCACCCCCCACCCCCAATATATTAAAACAAAAAACTCAGTCACATAATACCCGCATGTAAGTCCTTCTTCAGTAGACTATCAGCTGTTGAGGTCAAGACTGAAACAAGGTATACCCATCACAGAACTGCTAGTAAGCATATCATATGATTTCTCATCGTGACTGAATTTACCTATGTCAATGAAACTTACTCTGAGAAACCCTTCCACTTTAGAAGATATTCCACCTTGCCCTTGACAACTCGCCGATCAAGAACTTTTTCCACCACATATTCCTCTTCCTCTTCTTCTAGTACCTCCTCCACTTTCTTCTTGTTTTGCTTTTTTCCCATAGTACCCGCCAGCTTTCTGGTGTGAAGGGTGACACTGCTAAACAATGAAAGGAAATACAAAGGACATCAGGCACACGTGCTGGCTGGAGAAGTATCTGGATGGTGAGGAACCCAGGGAAATCACAGGTGATGTATGCTGCTTCTAACGCTCTACTCACCTCCAATTCACAACCATGTTGTACTGTTTGCTAGCAGTAAGCCATAATTACTCTCAGAGCAAATTATTGTCCTTTCTGTTCTTTCCCTTTGGACAAGGACTTATTATGAAGCCCAAACTGTCCTCAGCTTTCTTAATGATGGAATTATAGGTGTATATCACAGCACATGGGAAGAATTTCTGAATATATCCATTTACAACTTTTATACTAAGTTTAATTTATATTAACTCCCAATACCTCTTGCCACAAAGTATAGTAACTAAAATACTATGTTGAGTCACAGTTACATATATCGGATTATCTGACTCTCTTTTTGGAGAGAGGGTCTCATATAGATAGCCCAGACTGACTTTGAACTTCTGATCTGGTTTCTACCTTTCAAGTATTGTGATTACAGATATATGCTGCTACCATGTCCAGCTTTAAAAAAACAAAAAAAAGTCCCTTTATTTTTTCACTCTGCTTTTCTTGAACACAGTCATAAATTCACAGCTCAAACTTAAAACTTTCTTTTACTATGTGTGTGATGAGTCAGAGACATCAGGAGACAATTTATGGGAGTCAGTTCTATGTGGGTCTTGGGCTTGGCTGAGTCTCTTTGAGAGTCTCATGTACCCCAGGCTGACCTGGAACTCAAAATATAGCAAAGGATGACTGAACTTCATTCAGATCCTCCTGTCTCTACCTCTCTGAGTGCTAGGATTATTAATATATGTCACACCCAGTTTATGTAGTGCTAAAACACTCAACACAGAGCTTTGTTCAACTCACACTGTTTTCCTTTAGTAGTACTAGGAATTAAACCTAGGGTTTTGTGAATGCTAGGTACTAAGTTATAGCCTAAGCTCATAAATCATTCTTATTCAACCTAGTTTACTTAATAATTTATTTAGACTGTGGACTGCTTATAAAAAGCATTAAAATGGGGCTGGAGAGATAGTTCAGAGGTTAAGAGCATTGACTATTCTTCCAGAGGTCCTGAGTTCAATTCCCAGCACCCACATGGTGACTCACAACCATCTGTAATGGGATCTGATGCCCTCTTTTGGTATGTCTGAAGACAGCAAGTGTACTTAGATACAAATCCTAACTATGACTGAGGATTTAATAGCTCAGTTGGTAGTAGAATGCTTACTTTACATGAATGAAACTCTGCATGTGACCCTTAAAATCTGGGCATGATGCTGCACATATGCCTATGATCTTAACAGGAGAATCAAGAGTTAAAGGTTATCCTTGTGTGTGTGTGTGTGTGTGTGTGTGTGTGTGTATATAAAAAAAATACCCTATCAGGAAACCCATAAAATACATGTATTTTTTTCTAGTATAAAAAGTCTAGTTCCCTAAATCTCTTACCTTTAATCCATTCAATTCTAATGTTTTAATTTTTTCCATTTACTTACTTACTTACTTATATATTTACCTTCCAAGACAGGTTTTCTCTATATAGTCCTGGCTATTCCGGAACACTCAGAGATCCTCCTGCCTCTATATCCTGAGTGCTAGAATTAAAGGCTTGTGTTTCTTGTTTTGATTTTAAGGTCTGAAGCCTTAAAATTACCAGCAAAGTCTACAGAGAAACCCTGTCTGGAAAACAAAACAGTAAAACTAAAGGTAAAATGTGTGGTGCTAAATGGCACCTCTATAGTACAAGTGTGTACCACATTATTTAGCTTGAAAATGATTTTAAGTCATCAAATTTGTCTGGTATCTCAATGAATCCAAGAACAGTATAAATGTAGTTCTTTTAAGAGAAGAACAAACACTGGTTTTTTTCTTTTCTTTTTTTGGTTTTTGTTTGTTTTTCGAGACAGGGTTTCTCTGTGTAGCCCTGGCTGTCCTGGAACTCACTCTGTAGACCAGGCTGGCCTCGAACACTCGAACTCAGAAATCCACCTGCCTCTGCCTCCCAAGTGCTGGGATTAAAGGCATGCGCCACCACCGCCCGGCTGACTTTTCTCACCAACTTTCCCAGAGCCAGTTATATAGAAGAGGGCTGCAGACTTGAAGTTCTGCATTTCACCTTCAGATCCCACAAGGTGGCAAGAGAGAACCAACTCCAAACAGACCTTCACCCATGTACCAGTATGTATGTATACTTCTGTTGTGACAGGAAGTGTTCATTAACCCCAAAAGACCATCAAGGAGTTAGTTCAGATGCAATCGCATTAGGGTCTCTTTACTGTAAGCTCGAGCTTGAGCTTCCTGCCAACCCTGCCAACAGGAAGGTGTAACCCTGAGTCCAGTTTCAGGCAAGCATTTATAGAGGCAAGCAAAACAAGCAAGGGGGTATCTAGCCTGGTACACATCTGACTGGGAGGCCATTATGGCCTTTAACATAATTGGCTGGTGCTCAGAGCCAAACCGTAAACTTCTGCTTTCCTCCTGACTGATGGTTGTTAGGAAGTGAAGTGCCGGGGCAGGCGTGTAACCTGGAGGAGCAGATTTGTTGAGGAGTAATCTGGAAACTGGTGCTAGGTGCCAATTTGTTGACTTGAGTTCAACCTTAGGTCAGGTTCTCTAAGATGGAGTCTATACCCAAGATCTGGTCTCTCATTTCTACATGCATAAACTCACTAAATAAAACTTACCACTTGTGATGGCTATTCCTGGTTGTCAGCTTAATTACATCTGGAATGAACTACAATCTAGAAATGGAGGGCACACCTGTGACCAAGATCTTATGGCTGGGAGACACAGGCTTCTTTCTGACCTGGACCTTGACATGGGATGATACACACTTTTGATCCAGATCTTGAAGCATAGTGGTCATGAAAAACTTAGGCCCAAGCAAACTAGTACATGCCTTTAATCCCAAGAGACTGAGGCAAACAGATCACTAAGTTCAAGGCCAGCCTGGGACAGAGCAAGTTTTCCAAATTCAGGTGTGGTGGTACACACCTTTAACCTGGGCCACACCTTCTCCTGAAGGCCTATATAAGGACAATGAAAGAAGGAAGGCTCACTCTTCTCACTCTCACTTCGCCTGCTTGTACTAACTAGCCAACATATCTGTTGGAACCTACTTCAAGATTCCAGTTTAAACAGAAGACCAGCTGAAACAACTAGCCTCATGGACTGAGCAACTACTAGATTCTTGGACTTCTCATTCACAGCTGCCCACTGTTGGGTTAGCTGGTCTTCAAACTGTAAGTCATTACAATAAATTCACTTAATATATAGAGACAGTCCATAGTTCTGTGACTCTAGAGAACCCTGACTGATACACTACTTATATGATGAATAATGCTTGCTTCTTTTCTCATTTTGGTACTAGAGGTTAAATTTAAGACCTTGCATGTGCTAGGTAAGCCCTCTACCACTGAATCACATCTTAGCCCCTTATTTTTAGACAGGGTCAAACTGCCCAGCTTGTTTAGAACTGCAACCATCCTGCCTCTACTTCCAGAACAGATGGGATTACAACTGTGTACTACACCTAGCACTTATATGTGTATATTGTATTATAATTTACTAATTTATTTTGTGTATATGTGTATCAGACACAAAAGTAAACATTTTGTTTTGCCTTTGAAGTTTGTATAAACTTTTCAAAGAAATAGAAAAGGTATACCTTTGAAGCCAGTGTAAACAGATTCCAGTTGTTAGCACAGAAAAACATGAGCTAGGGTACAGTAGGCATCTCAATTGGTAAAGTTCTCATCATACAAGCATTAGGACTTGACTTGGTTCTCCAGAATCCTTCCAACGCAGGCACTGGGATGAGTGCTTCTAATTTCTAATTGAAGGGAGATAGACAGGTGGATCCCTAGGGCTTGCTGGGCAGCCAGACAGCTTGGCCTACTAAGTGAGTACCAGGGAAAGGAGAAACAGTACCTCAAAACAACAAACAAAAAACAAGGCAGAGAGCATCTGAGAAATCCAAGGCTGACCTCTGGCCAGACACAGTGAAGGATACCTATGAAGTTCTAGGAGACCTATTTCTGTACAGCTTGAGAAATCTAATTCTAGGGCCTGGAGAGATAACTCAGTAGGTAGGAGCACTTGCTGTTGCTCTTCCAGAGGACTGATCTAGGCTCACAAATGTTAACTCTAGTTCCAAGGAATTGGATGCCTCTGGTTGCCTCAGGCACCTGCATATACCCACAGACACATACCTACATATAATTACAAATAGTAAAAATAAATCTTAGCACTTGGGAGGCAGAGGCATGAAGATCTCTGAGGTCAAAGACAGTCCGGCTACATAAAGACCCCTTCTCAAAAAACAGGAAGTGCAAGCCATGTAAACCTTACAACTGAGTTTCTATTCCTGGCAAGCATGTAAAAAGGCCAGAAATGGTAGGATGCATCTTTAATCCTAGCAATCTTACAGCAAGATGGAATGTGGAGACAGAATTGCAAGGAAACTCATCAGCCAGCTAGCCTAGAGTACAAAGTACAACAGAAAAAGAGATCCTGCCTCAAATACGATGAAGAGAACCAACTTCCAAAAGTCCAAAGTGCACGATGGCCCATGCACAAAAATACTTTGTTTTTTAAACCATAAAGGTTCCTGGTCCTTATGGCTTTTTTTTTTTTTTGGTCATCCTACAGAGATGTATACATGTGAAAACAGAATTACAGTTTTCCCAACTTGACTTTAAAAAAAAACTGCATGCACATCCCCGCAGCTGCCCAAGGAGTTCAAGTGTCAGATTCTCTCATCAGAGTTCCTACTGACCACTGTGGATCTCCTGTCGTGGGTGCTAGTAACTGAACTTAAGTCTTTTGTAACAGCAATACATATTTTCTTTCTGGCTGATGCTTGAATTTTTTTCTTTAAAGATTTATCTAGTTAACGTAATTGAGTGTGCTATCTACATGTACAGCTGCATGCCAGAAGAGGGCATCAGATCCCATTATAGATGGTTGTGAG